CATGTTATACCATTTTGTTGGGAAACCATAACACATTATCTTTCACATGGTTACCAATTCAATATAAATTCTATTAAACTTTTCACTTATATGAAATTTTAATTTATATATTTCATACTAATCTTTATATTGATGATTTATTTAAAAACTTCCCAAAAATTATTTTTATACATTTTTAAAATTAAATTATAAGATCAAACGACGATGTAGACTGTAGAATACGTCTACAAAGTAGACTTCTAAGAAGGTCTACAAATGTGTAGACTTCTCTCTATTATGTGTAGACTTGCAAAGGACAGAACCGTAAAATAACTGTCTTTTTTTTTGTTTGGTCACAAGGGTTAAGTAGTAACTTTATAACCCCTTTAAGTTGGTTTTGCATTTGACTCAATAAGGAGTACACCTTTTGGGTTGAAATGAAATTTTAGGTTGGTTTTGGCAAATCCCCTTTTTTTTTTTCTCTTGGCTCCACTTAAACTATAAGTTATTTGGCATTTTTGCTAGCTGTGTGAAGATGTTCCAAAAATGTCATAATAAACTTTGATGTCGAAGGCGTAACGTTAAGACTTTCATTTTCAAGTTGTTTTTAAGGACATCACCAAAAATGACATCAATTTTACTGTTAAAATTATACTAAATTTCATGTTTTAGTGTCAAATTTTTTATCATCTCTAATAATAATATCAAATTTTATACTAAAGTAATATAATATATTATTTAATTTTTGTTTTTGTTGTTTGTAATTGATAAATAATTATTCTATCATATTATCTATTATGTTTTTTAAATTTGTATTTTTATGTTTATAAAATTTATATACATTTATATTTTCTGGTTTACCAATATTATATTTTATGTATTTACTCTATATAAAATATTAGTTATATTCAAAATTTAAAATTATTAACAATGAAAAGTAAATAACAGAATAATATATTTCTTTTAATATTTTTATTAGTTAATAAAACAATTTTAGCTATTTATAAAATAAAATTGTTATTTTAATGTTTGATTAATGTAATATTATTACATAAAAATTTAATTAGTTAATATTAAATCTACCTTACAGTATTATTTCTATATTTTATAATATTAAATAAATTTTATACTTTTAATAGTAAAAATTAAAAATTATGATATATTATTTTATTATAATTTGACGTAAATGATAATACTTATTTAGTAATTTATTAATAGAAAATTATAAAACCTTAATTATGTAAAATGATTTAAAAATACAAATAATACATTATAGTCAGATTTAATTACAAATTTAAATTAATTAACAATATTTATTGAAGTATATTATTAAGTGAAATATAGTAAAATATGTATTTTTAAGATTTGATGCGATAAAAAAATTACATTAAATTTGGTGGAATAGTATCAAATTTGTATCTTGTTAGAGATGGATTTACACCAAATTTAGTGTTTTGATATCATTGTTAGAAATGACCATAATACATCTCCAATCGTATAACCTAAATCTTAATATTGCATTCAGATCATCCACATAACGCTAAACGAGGTAACTAAACACCCGTATTCTCTTTTCCGCCACTATGTATCATGTGTTGATGTAAAATGTCTGTTTTGAAGTAATCGTTGACGTAGTTGCTGAAGCAGACGTCGTGTTGAGTGGTGAAGACCATGTGGAGTCAAGATGCTGAGCTGGACTCGTGTATACTTGGAGAGCAAGGATGTATCTTGGAGAAAAGGCAAGAGAAATAAACTTGGGAAACAAGTTTGTGACTTAAAGGAAAGAGGAATAAGTACATTCCAAGAAAAAAAAAGTTGCACTTAATGTTATGGAAGATGTCCATATTGCGTTCCTTGAATACTAGAGTTTTAGGAATGTGGAGAATAACTATAAGATAGCTATGAGTTCGTCTGTAGAGAGAAAAAGACACAGAGGCTGATCTTATAGAGAGAGAGAAACTCTTAAGGTTGTCTTGGGTCGTGCTGCAGCAGAGGCTGAAGTACTTGACGACAGAGAGACATAAGTGAGTACCTTAGGAATCTTTCAGTGACGTGTGTTAGGGTGTTAACACTAGGCATGTAAAGCTGAATAAACAAGGTCTTGTAAGATTGTTTAAAGGAGATTTCTAATAAAGCTATTGGTATTTTGTCTCTAGAGTTATCTTCTGCATTACTATATTGTGGTGTCATCTTTGCACTTACAATTAGTATCAGAGCAGAGCACCTAAGTTATCGGTGTAATCCTGAAGGTGAAGATGGACACGATTGTTACGATGCAAAAGGAAATCATGTTGAATGCGGACCAGTATGGTCATTGGAAGGCTCGCATGAAGCAGATGATTCGAGGAATCAATGAAGATGCATGGACAGCTATGGAGATTGGTTGGGAGGAGCCTACCATAGTCACATGAGATGAGAAGAAGCCTAAGTCAAAAGAGGATTGGTCAGAGGCAGAACGCAATGCATTAAAATTTAATGCAAAGGCGTTATCGGCGACTTTTGGAGCTGTTGAAGCAGAACAGTCTCAGCTGATTCAGGGGAGTATGTTACCTAAAAATGCGTGGGAGATCCTGCTGAATTCTTTTAAAGGAGATGAGAGTGCCAAGAGGACACGCCTAGATCATCTTGGGTCGCAGTTTGAGAATCTCAGATGGTCTGATGTTGATTTTGTGGCGAGCTTTAGTGCCAAACTCAGTGCTATGGCGCATGAAGCATTTGTACTTGGGAAGAAGTACAAGGAGAAGAAGCTGGTAAAGAAGTTACTACGCTGTCTTCCAAGGAAGTTTGAAGCTCACTAAGCAGTCTTGCAGATGACTACAAACACGGATGACCTCAAGTTTGATAAGCTTGTGGGTATGCTGAAGGCACAAGAGATGAAGATAGACAGTAGTTCAGTCTCTACGTCAGGCAGTGCACCTGGGAGTATAGCGCTTACAGCTGACAAAGATGGTGATAGATTCCAGAAGTTTGAAGATACTGTGGGTATGTTGACTAGGAATTTTAGTAAGGCGCCAAACTCCTCTGGTGGGAGGAAACAGTATGGTCGTCAAGGAGGTGACCATGGCAATGGTAGAAGAAGAGTTGCTATTAAGTGCTAAGAGTGCGAAGGAGTTGGTCATGTGAGGGATGACTGTCCTATGGCACAACAAAAGGAACTTAAGTGTTCTGAGTGTAGAGGTGTTGGACACACAAGGCGTGAATGTCCATACTCAAAGAAGGAAAAAGAATCTCATTCGTCTGATGATTTAGAGTCTGAAGAAGATGAAACGGTGGTGAAGAATATGGTTGCATTTGGTGCACAGAAAGAGGGAGCTAGTGAATCCTCAAATTCAGATCGCAGTACAGATGATGAGGAGTATCACGTGCTTCTCAACAAGTGGTTGAGCTCAAGGATGAGAATCTGAGATGGGAGAGTGCGGCTCAGAAGAAAAACGAATTGCTTGGAGAACTTTGTGAAGAACTTGCGGTTGTAGAAGAGAAGAATGAGTCTCTTGAAGAGGAAGTTAGCAAGCTGAGAAGAGTTGCTACTGGTGAACAAGAGAGAGCAAGGAAGCTGGAACATGATTTGGCTGAGAATCACAAACATATCAGAATGCTCAATAGTGGATCCAAGGAGTTGGATAAGATACTCACAATGAGACAACCAGCCAAGGTGAATTGGGGACTGAGATACCGAGGAGCTGAGAGTATTGGAGTACATCAGAATGGGCTGTCACACTTCGTGCATGGGAGCACATCAAAAAGTGGAACCAAAGAGCTTGTCAGGAAGTGCGTCGGGACGTACGACGAGGAATACGGCAGGAAGTTCTACAGCGCGTGGCTGTGAGTAACAAGCCGAAAGTGGTACATCAATGCAGCAACATGAAGGTCAGACAGGAGGTTCTGAAGCATGGTTCTGCATCTGGTACAAGGAAGGAGACTGATCAGTGCATCATCAACTGTGTCAGGCCCAAGAAAAAGCAACAAAAGATATGCTGTTGGTTCTGTGGGAAGGTTGGACACAAGAAGGTGGAGTGTTTTACTCGTGAGAAGAGCAGAAACATGGCCAAGAAGGTGAACAAGATGTTCATTAAACCCAAGAGGCTTGAAGAGGTGTTCTTAGCCAAGAGTGGCTTACTTGATGAGGTCAAGGAAGGGCATCAAAAGAAGGATGCAGCTCTGGTAGGAGTGATCCTGAGGAAGATCAAGAAACATCAAGTCTGGAGTCAGGACACGGAGTT